TTATTTTTAGAGATAGGGGGAGGGAGAAAGAGAAGGAAACATCCATTGGTTCCCTCCTGTATGCACCCTGCCTGGGGGCCAAAATCATAACCCAGGTATGTGCCCTGACTGGAAATTGAACCTGCGACCTGCTTTGTTGAACAATGCACAACTAACTGAGCCACACTGGTCAGGGCTAGAGGCTTTCTTAAGAACAAAGGCTGGAGGGTAACTGGAGCTGAAATAGACCAAGCACTTGGAAACTGGTTAGAAAAATTTTACATGAATCCAAGCAAAAAAAAAAAAAAAGGAAAGGAATTAGAATAAGGTATGGTCTATGTGTACAAAAAACGGACTTTAAACATCTCAGAAATCTTATAAAACAACATGTGCAGGGTGGATATGGGGATTTAGTAAAAAGGGGTATCAAAGATAACTCACTGCAAAAATCCAGGATTTTGCTTGATGGTATTATTCACAAGGAATATGAAAATAAAGGATGCTTCGAAGAGGAAGATATTGAGTTCCATTTCACACGAGGCCAGTTCCAATGGCAGCTGAATGAATATTTGGTGGTGGAGAACTTGAGGGAAACATTTTCAAAGCAAAATTGCAGATAGCTAAGAAGTTAGTAAAAGCTGAAGCAGATAGTGTACACTGCTTTAAGCAGCTTTGGAGCATATGAGGGAAACTGATAGCTGGTTTGATCCATGGTTGTGGTTTGATATAATGATCATGGAAATGTTATAGGTGGGCACAGGTAACCAGGTTCTTGGTGATTGCGGACAAAAAAAATTGAACCAAACACACAGAATTTATAGCGGAAAGCAAGAGAAAGCAGATTTATTAAGCCACACAGAACAGGCTTCTCTGAGGGAGCAGACCACCTTAGAGAGGAGAGGAGAGGAGGGGAGGGGAGGGGAGGGGAGGGGAGGGGAGGGGAGGGGAGGGGAGGGGAGGGGAGGAGAGGAGAGGAGGGGAGAGAAGAGCCTAAGAGCCCCGACCTGAGAGGCTAGACGGCTTTTATTCCTTCAGGGTGGGTGTCTCCTGGATAGTTTTAGTGGGCTTTTATTGCGCATGTACAAGTAGTTATATTATTTTAAAGTTACTGTTCATGTGGTCTCCCATGATTTCCCTGATTGGCTACCGGGTAGGGGGGGGGGTCCCACAATGCTAATTTATTATAATGCTATCATAATGAAGCTGGGGTCAGGTAGCATCTTTTGCGCAGGTGCATTCCTGAATCACTGGGATTCAGTGCTTTTCCAGAAAGCAGGAACTACTAGTTTTAGAACAGTGTCTCCGCCCTTTATTGATGTTCTTTATCTTAGCCCTGGGGCACGTCTGGAGTTTCCTCCTTCCCGACTATCTCCTCCTGCCTCAGAAAGTCAAGTGAAGTAATAGGTTGCCACAAGAGTGTGGGGGAAATATTTCTGTATTCAATGTGTAAAGTGAAGCCAAGAGGACCTAGGACCTAGACTAGTGATTCTTAAGCTTGATTGACATAAGAATCACATGAAGGGCTCATTAAGCCACAGATGGCTAGGCACCACACCAAAGCTTCTGATTTGGAAGGTCTGGGGTAAGGCTGAAGAATTTGCATTTTTAAAATTTTTGTTCAATTACAGTTGTCCCCATTTTTCCCCCATTACTCTTCCCTGCCCTACCCACCCCCATCTTCCATCTTCCACATTCAATCCCCCTCCTCCTGCCATTGTCTTTGTCCAGGGGTCCTTTATACATATTCCTTGACCTTTCCCCTTCTTTTTCTCCCCCATCCCTGTTATTCCCCCCGCCCCCCCCGGCTCCCCCCCCCCCGCCCCCCTCTGGTCAATGTCAGTTTGTTCTTTACTTCCCTGTCTCTGGTTGGAATTTGCATTTCTAACATGCTCCCAGATGCTGAGGTTGCTGGTCTGGAGGCCACACCTTGCAAACCACGGGCCTAGACAATCTTTGGCTTTGAAAGGCTTGACTATACAACTGTAGGATGCTCTTTATATGGATCTTCCAAACAGCTCAAAGTTAAGATGTGAACAAGATTTTAAAATTACTTCTTTTCTCAAAATTAAAACCTATTTCAAATCTCACTATATAAAAATATTTCTCAAGTGTGTCATATTTCATTCTTTACATACATATTACATAGAAAATGATGCTGCCCTAGCCAGCTCAGTTGGTTGGAGCATCGTCCTGTGAACCAAAAGGTTGTGGGTTCAATTTCCAGTCAGGGCACAGGCCTATGCTGCGGTTTGGGGCGCATATGCTAGGGACCAATCAATGTTTCTTGCATCGATGTTTCTCACCCTCTCTGTCTCCCTGTCTACCCCTCTCTCTAAAATCAATAATAAACACACAGTGAGAATTAAAAAAAAGAAGAAAGAAAGAATGTCTTATACGAAGGGGAACCCCCAAAAACCCAGAATTTATTTATAAAAAATTGTGTATTTATTCTTACATGTTTAAACTTCAGTACCTTCAAAGTACTCTCCATTTGATGCAATACACCTGTTGAGATGTTATTTCCACTGCTCTAAACAGTTTTTGAACTCATCAATTTTGATGTCTTTCAGTGCTTCTGCCATTTTGTTTGTTTGTTTGTTTCACCTCCTTCCATTGGCAAAATGTTTCCTTCGAGGATATTTTTCATCCAAGGAAACAAAAAAATGTTGCTCCAGGCAAGATGGGTGAATAGCGAGGGTAGGGCATGGGGGACATGCCGTTTTTGGTCAAAAACTGCTGAACACTCAGTGTTCATAAATCACCCATCATGAAATGGGCAAATGCCTTGAAAGTCTCCACAAAAATTCACTGAAGCTGAACACAGCCTCCTCACAACACCACTATCTGGTACTGATACTGGAGGGTTCCTAGAGCACTTGCCTAGCAGGGAAAGCCTGTACTACAAGGGGCCCACATTCCAAGAGATAATTCTGGTTTGGGGGGGTTCACTCCTCATATCATCTAATTGTGTCTTCTCATATCTTTCAAAATTATAGAATAACTCTTAACCATTCTTATTGTTTGAGAAATATTTGGTTTCTAAACTTATTATAAATAATGATATTGTGTATCACTTAAAAAATTTTATTATGGAAGATTTAAAACACACATATAGAGAGAACAAAGTAATGAATACATTCTCCACATCCCCTTATTATTTTGAAGCAAATCCTGGGTAGCCTATCATTTCAAGTGAAAATATTTCCTCTATTATTTTTGGTTCATAGATATTTCCTTAAGCAAGATGCTGAGTAGAACCTGTGGGCTCAAAGGGAAAGAGTTTTTAAAAGACATTTCAGATAAATGGCTAATTGATTCCTTTATAGATTTATGCCAGTTTACACATTCAGCAACAGATCTGTGAAAGAGATATAAAAGTCAGAGTTCACAAAAATGGCTGCTCATTGTTCAGATTAGTTTTGGGCATATTTAGGAGATTCTCATCATTATCCTCTTACATACTGCTAATTTTTTTAAAGGGATAAATGACAACCTAATGTTATTTGATCAGTGACTCAAGTCATACAGTATTTACTTGCCATTATTTTAAATGTTATTTCTTTTTGAAAGGTACTTTATAGACTGAAGAAACAGAATTAATGGCCCTGATTTTTGCAGAAGTTAAAATAAAATTTTAATGCAAGAAGAAGAAGAAGGAGAAAACCACTCTCCTTGAGCAAAGCGTCAAGGAGATGCTGAATAGTTCTCTAAGTTACTGGGTTAGAGTAGTCATTTTCAGGAATGGAGGTCTTTCTATAGTTAACAGACCAGATGGAAGGTAAGTTTACATGGGAAGATGGAAGATGGTGGTTAGAGTAGAACTTCAGAGTTTGGATTCAGAGAAGGAACAATTTTAGATGAAGAAGGTCCAGGATTGACGCTGCCACAGGAATGATGGGAGGTCAAGGAATTGAGTGTTGCAAGGGTTATCAAAATGGTTCACATGTGGCAGAGGCTTGAGTCTAAAGAGAAGCTTCAACAGGAATTCAAGATCTGAGGAGGAGTCTGGCTACTTTCTGGGCCTGAACTATGTATGTAGAGGTGACTGTCTATATACCTACAGACATTGTAGCCCATTCAGGTTAATGCACCAGTACAGGTAACAAATCTAAGAGAAGTGTGTGACTGTGCCAGCTCTGACTACTCATCCTTTAAGAAAGCCTGGGCTAGGTCCCGGTCTTCTGTGGAGGAACTCTAGGGTAGACGTCAGAAAACCTGAGGATTTCAAACCTGTAAAGAAGCAATTTGTCCAAGGCCTGCCCTAGGGATTGAGATAAGGACAGGCAGGATGGCTGCTGATTCTAAGAGAAGTGGCTTGCAAAGAATTATAAATTCCACTAGTTAGCACTTGTACATATTAAAAGTGTCTGCTAACCCTCAGCAATGATTTTTTTTTACCTTTTATAATTTCCCCTTTATAGCTTTACAGGGTTCACAACACCCCTCTGGGGTATGAGTCTGATTCGGTTTTACATTGCGGCCACTCTCAGCATGTGTTCCTTACAGACTGCTGGTACTGAAGAGCACTGGGCCCAAGGTGCTGCTTCCACTGCTTAACACTTGTGCAAACTTCCACAGTTACTTACTCCCCCATGCTCAGTTTTCCCGCTTGTAAAATGCAGATAATAATAGGGGTTTTGTGAGGATTAAGTGAGGTAGTTCATGAAAAGCGCCGCACACACAGTGAACACCGTATAAATACTAGTTACGATTTGTTACATTGTCCAGTACGGGTCCTTGTCAATACCTCGACGTGTGTGTGTGGTTTACGGTGCTGCAGTTTCACCTAACTGTTGCGTCGCTCTTTCCCGCGCATCTGCACAGCAGCCTGACCACTTTTTCTAGCTAGACAGTATTTGGGTATGTTGACTGACTTGCAGCCTTTGATTTTAGAGAGAGCCGGAAGCAGAACCTGCGCAGTCGCAGCAGGGCTTGTAGTGGCGCCTGCTCTTGGCGGGGTGCAGCGGCGTGCTTCCGGCCTCGCCCCGCCCCCTGGGGGCGGTGAGGAGTCGACGGATTGCGTAGGATCCGCCGCACGTCACAGTCACCCAATTCTGGGCCGATGGCGCCGGCGCAGCGCTGCGCTCTGTGTCGCCAGACCTTTTTCTGTGGTCGCGGCCACGTCTACAGCCGCAAGCACCAGCGCGAGCTGAAGGTGGCTTTGGATCGGCTCTTACCGCAGGTGCCGTGGGCCTGGAGTGGGCCGTGGACAGCCTGGGGGCAGGGATACGGGCGGTTCAGTGAGGACCCAAGCGGGTGGGATTTGGGGTGTCTCCCTCGGGTTCCCACTTGGCCTCTTCCCGGTTACATTCTTTTCTGCAGGTGGAGGCCGCCCGCAAGGCCATCCGCACAGCTCAGGTCGAGCGTTACGTGCCCGAGCACGATCGGTGCTGCTGGTGCCTGTGCTGCCGCTGTGAGGTGCGGAAGCACCTAAGTCACGGAAACCTGACAGTGCTGCACGGGGGGCTGCTGGAGCACCTGGCCAGGTGAGATCCGTGCTAGGAACCTCTATCGAGCGTGGTTGCATACACGTGGGACGGAGGATTTAGGGTGGCTGAGAGGAGGAACGCTTTTGGGATTTGATCAGGATCAATGTAGTGTCATTTGATAGGCGTCGCCTGCCCTTAAGGGATAGAGAGGGCTTTTGGTTGTTGTGGCCCCAGTGGTGCTGGTGGCCTAACCGGAAAAGCCAGCAGGGCAACTAGCTCAAGGTTCCCCTCCCAACACCTCTTCCTAGATTCTCACATTTTTATTGGAAAAGGGAAACTGGAAATCTGGAAGAGGTTACTAACAGTATTTCACTTTCGGCCTTGCCCAGAGGCAGAAATCCAGATGTCAGTTTGCATTACATATTACTTGTGTGTAAATATCTGAGAAATATTCTATAATCTATCACTGAGATTACTCATACTCTCATTCTCAGCCCAGAGCACAAGAAAGCAACAAATCGATTCTGGTGGGAAAACAAGGCTGAGGTTCATATGAAAGAGAAGTTTCTCGTCTCCCCTCAAGATTATGCACAGTAAGTCTCTGCTTATGAAAGATGAAGTAACAGAGTATGAATTCCGTGGATCCGTGTCAAGTACCAGAGTTTCCTCTATTAATTGGAGAGTTTGATAAAGACTTCATAAGTATCTGTTGTCTTCATAGCACTCGTTATTCTAGGCACTATATTGGACACAAAAGAAGTATGGCAGAATCTTTGAGAGGTTTATAATCTAATTGGGGATTGGATTTGCAATGCGTTTAGCAAATAGAGCAATATATAGTAAAAGTTGACTGTAATCAACTACTTAAGTGTGTGGCACAGTGAATATTAAGTTCCTTTAGGAATAGAAGAAGTTGTTAATAGTGTGCAAAAAACTGGTGCTCACCCAGTACACACTCTTAATAGTTTTTAATTATTATTATTTTTTTATCCTCACTGAGGACATGCTCATTGATTCTAGAGAGAAGGAGAGAAACATCAATTGGATCAGCTAGCTGCCTCTCACATGTGTCCCAACCAGGGATCAAACCCACAACCTAGGCATGCACCTTGACTGGGAATCGAATTGGCGACCTTTGGTTCACAGAATCATGCTCCAACTGAGCCATGCCAGCTAGGATTCTACTTTTGATAGTTTTAGACTCTATTTGAACTGGTCTCTGGAGGACCCTTAGAAACAAGTTCAGGAAACTGGTCATTACAGAGGAAGTGTGAGCCCTGACTGCCTCAAGAAGACAACAGGCAGCCTCATGACACCACTTTTATTAGGACCATATTGAGATTATGAGATGTGTAACCCAGGGGTATCCCAGAATCAAAGTTACAGAGAAACTCATGGTATCTATTATTCCTTTCTACGTAGTGTGGAGAATAATGAGGGAATGATAAGAAATGCCTAAATTCCTCTGGGACTCTGACTGGGCAGAAATGGGAATCTGAGGACAAAAAGCATACTCCTCATACCCTGACCCCACATACATATGGTTTTGGTGGGTGAATAAAGTACAGTTGAGCAGAAAAGTTTATAATTGAGAATTATGGGGATGGACTCTTGGAGCTTTTATTTCAATATAGTTTTGTCTTTTAACCTTATAAATTTTAAGCACAACCACACAGAAGACCAGACAAGGACAAGCCTGACTGACAAGTAGTGATAAAATGAGCCACACTTAGGTTTAGACAGTTTATTACTTACAGAGACAGCGAAAAGAGTAAGCTCAATTGCCAGTTTCCCAGGTCCTTGTCCCACATGCCAAAAAGGACCACGCTGAAACAGAAAGGGCTGGGTGACCTCAGCATGAGTTGTGAGGAGTTGCTGGGGAGCCAAATGTAGAGTGCAACTACATGGTTTTAAAGTCTGAAACTCTTAGTCTGAGGGGGGCAGGACAGAAAGCCCCGTATCTCATCAGAATCCCAGAGATGAGGAGAAGCTGTTTCGTTGTAACTGAACGCACTGCTCGCTGCCTGCCACAACACAACGAGCAAGGGTGCCCTGGGTACTGTGGCCCAGTGGATTGAGTGCGGGCCTGCGAAGCAAGGGGTCGCTGGTGGATTCCCAATCAGGGCACATGTCTGGGTTGCAGGCCAGGTCCCCAGTAGGGGGCGCGCAAGAGGCAACCACACATTGATGTTTCTCTCCCTCTCTTTCTCCCCCCCCCTTCCCTTCTAAAAATAAATCAATAAAATCTTTAAAAAAAATCAAGGGTTGGGGGCATTGAAAAGTTCTCTACATGCAGGCCATCACAGTCCGTTCTGATAAGGACCTTGAAACTGGTAAAGTGAGGGTCTAGTATGTGTCATCCTGGTCTTCATACCCTGGTTTTACATTTGAAGTTCAGCAAATCTAGAGCTGGGATGACTGAAAGTTAGAGTCTGTATCTTTTGAAGTTAGTCCCTAGGATTCTTACACAAACATGATGTTTATGTACAAACTACATATCAGAGTCAGCATTTACAGAAACAATGTCATAAGAATGGTGGGGTGAGTTACAATTCCCCACTGTTAGATGAGTGGGAGATGGTCTTACAGCAGCTACTGTTAGGCCTCCTGTCCTCTTATGTTCTGGGAGGATCACACAGGCTTTCAGCCAAGACTCACTTAAGCTGTGGTTCAAGCTTTGCCTGTATGAATATGTGCAAGGCTGCCAGGGCACTATGGCAGAGTGTTCCCCATGTTTTACCTATTCAGTTAGAGAACAGGTCTTAAAATTGATTGGAAAGACAAATTTCCTTAAGTATAAGTCAATTTCATAATAATCACAAATGAATAAGAATTCAAGTAATTTTGAACACAGAATTCTGACTGTACATCTTAGAAGGATATTTTCTAAGGACTAAACTGAAAAGAAATCTTGAGCTTTGCTTAGTAGTTTTATTGTTGTTAGTGACTTTTTTGTGTGTATAGTAGGATGAAACAACTCTAAGTATAATTGAGCATTGAACAACATGGGTTTGAACTGCATGGGTCCTCTTATGCGCATATTTTTTTCAGTTGACCAGTGCAGTACAAACCCATGTTGTTCAAGGGTCAACTCCCTGGTTGAGGGTCTGCATATACTGAGGGCCAACTGTAGCCATATGTGGATTTTCAGCTGTGCAGGGCTGAAAATCCTAACTCCCATGTCATTCAGTGGTAAACTGTATATTGATATTGTTGGGAACCAAGAATTTTGGTGTGGCAGAAAGAAGATAACAGTAGGAAGGGAGTGATTTCATTTGGGGAGGTATCAGTATGAATTTTTGACTTAAGAAAATCAAAGCTCTGTCCTCTGAAAGAGCTAGAAGCATGACACCTATGGAACAGTAGGAACTTTATTAATACTCTGCTCTTTGGTTTTTTTAAAATCATTTTTTATTTTTAATTAAGTTGACATACCTTATTATATTTGTTTCAGGTATACACCCCAGTGATTAGACATTACATAACTTACTAGTGATCATCCTAATAAATCTCACACCCATCTAACACCATACATAATTATTAGACTATTATTCACTGTATTCCCTATGCCGTACTTTACGTCCCCATGAGTAGTCTATAATTACCAATTTGTACTTTTTAAAAAATTTTGTTATTGTTTATGCTATTACAGTGGTCTGAATATTTTTCCCTTCAGCCCCCTCCACCCAGCCCCACCCACCATTCCCTCAGGCAGTCACCACACTGTTGTCCATGTCATGGGTCATACATGTATGTACTCTGGCTACTATTCCCTATGCTGTACTTTACATCTGCATGACTATTCTGTAACTACCAATTTATGTTTTTTTTTTAAGATTTTATTTATTTTTAGAGAGAGGGGAAGGGAGGGAGAGAAACATCAGTGTGTTGACACATCAATTAGTTGCCTCTTGCATGTCCCCAACTGGGGACCTGGATGACAACCCGGGCATATGCCCTGACCAGGAATTAAACCTGCGACCTTTCAGTTCACAGGCCAGCACTCAATCCACTGAGCCACACCAGTCACAGCCCAATTTCTGCTGCTTAATTCCTTCACTTTTTTTGCCCATCCACCAAACATCCCTCCCATCTGGCAACCATCAAAATGTTCTCTGTATCTATGATTCTTTTTTTGTTCTTTGTTTATTTTGTTTTTAGATTCAATTGTTTTTAGATAGGTATTTATTGCCATTTTATTGTTCATATTTTTTATGTTTTTTAAAAAGATTTTATTTATTTTTTTTATTTTTAGAGAAAGGGGAAAGAGGGGCGATAGAGAGGGAGAGAAATATCTATTGGTTGTCTCTCGCACATCCCCACCTGGGGATCTGGCCTGCAACCCAGGCATGTGTCCCGACTGGGAATCGAATCAGCAGCCTTTAAGTTTGAAGGCTGCTGCTCAATCCACTGAGCCACACTAGCAAGGGCTATCTTTTTCTTCTTAAAGAAGACCCTTTAACATTTATACTGGTGTGGTGGTGATTAACTCCTTTAGCTTTTCCTTGTCTAGGAAGCTCTTCATCTGTCCTTCAATTCTAAATGATAGCTTTGCTGGGTAAAGTAGCCTTGGTTGTAGGTCCTCGCTTTTCCTCACATTGAATATTCCTTGCCTGCAATGTTTCTTTTAGCATGCAATGTTTCTTTTGAGAAATCAGTTGACAGTCGTATAGGAGCGCCTTGGAGGTAACTAACTGCTTTTCTCTTGCTGCTTTTAAGATTCATTGTCTTTAACCTTTGACATTTTTATTATTATGTGTTTTGATGTGGGCTCTTTGGATTCATCTTGCTTGTGACTCTGCTTCCTGGACTTGTATGTCTATTTCCTTCCCAGATTAGGGAAGTTTTCTGTCATTTTTTTTTCCAAATAGGTTTTCAATTTCTTGGTCTCTTCTCATTCTGGCACCTCCATGATGCAAATATTGGTATGCTTAAATTTGCCTCAGAGGCCTCTTATAGTATCTTCATTTTTTAAAAGTTCTTTCTTCTTGCTGTTCTGATTGGTTATTTTTTGCTTCCTTATATTCCATATTGCTGATTTGATTCTTGGCTTCATCCACTCTGTTGTTTCCCTGTAAATTGTTCCTCATTTTAATTAGTGTATCCTTTGTTTCTGACTGGATCTCTTTTATGCTGTTGAGGTCCTCACTAAGTTAATTAAACATTCTTACAACAAGTGTTTTGAACTCTGCATCTAGTAGATTGCTTGTCTCCATTTTGTTTAGTTATTTTTCCATAGTTTTGATCTCTTCTTTCATTTGGGCTATGTTTCTTTGTCTCCTCATTTTGCCATTCTCCCTGCATTTGTTTCTATGTATTAGGTAGAGCTGCTGTCTCCCAGGCTGGGTAGAATGGCTTAATGTAGTAGGTCTCCTGCAGGGTCCAGTGGTACAGCATCCTCTGTTACCCAAACTGGATATTCAAGGTACCCCCACCATGTGGGCTTGTGTATACCCACCTGTCATAGTTGAGCCTTGATTGTGGTTGGCACTTCCAAGGTCAGCCACCCTCTGTGTTCTGTCCAGGGTCACACAGCATAAACTCAAAGTGATCTGCAGAGATGGCTCTATTTACGCTGGGCTGGGAGTTGCCCAGAAGAGGCCATGCTGTGACCCAAGTTCAGGTGCTGCTAATTCCAGACCTGAGACAACACAGTGGGAGGTGTGGGGGCTTGCTGAAGCCAGATGCTGCTTGTTTGAGAGAATTTAGGAAAATGTGAAGCATGGGCCGAGACAAGCCATTTAAATGGAAAAGCCACTGGAAATAGCTTGGGTTGGCCTGAAAGTTGGGTGGGGCCAGGGCTCGGGGAATCAGCAGGTAGGGCAAACAGTGATAGTCAGGTTGATGGAGTCTCAGATATGGTGCCTTCTGCTGACTGTGGCTCTGTTCAGGGTGGGCTCAGAAAAGGAACAATAGCTTCCACCAGCATTTTTGTCTGGTAGAAAGCTGCCCCCAGCTCTCGCCCTGATGCCAGACAATTTAGTTCCTCTCCATATTTCCCTGATGCCTTTCAATCTGCTGCTCCTGCACTGGAGCTCAGAGGGAGTGAGTCTAAGTAAGTCTGTGTGCTGGCCTTTTAAGAGGAACTTCCTGGGATTCTGGAAGTTTCTGTCTTCCACAGCATCAATCCCCACTGATTTTTACAGCCAGAAGTTATGGAGACTTATCTTCCTGGCATTGGAACCCTGGCCTGCGGGGCTTTGTGCGGGGCTGAGACCCCTCACTCCTGAGATACCCCTCCCAATTTTTATCCGCCACATGCTGGTGTGGGGCCAGTCCATTCAGCGTCTCTGCACCCTCCTAGCAGTCCTAGCGATGTGGTTTCTTCCTTAATTCTGTAGTTGTAAGACTTACACTCAACTCAGTTTCTGAGAGTTATAAATGGTGGCTGTTCAATAGTTTAGTTGCAATTTTGATGTGGTAGTGAAAGGAGGCTAACCATACCACCATCTTGACTGGAAGTCTGTACTTCTTAATCCCTTCACCTTTTTCACCCTTTCCCCCTCAGCTCTTTGTTTCTAAATACTATTTACTACTAATAGGAACTAGGTCTCATTGGAGAAATGGTTGATTTCAGGTTTGGTGCAGGGAAGGTACATGGTAAGACCGTGGAGTGGTCCAGAGGACAAAAGAGCTGGTTTGAAGGGGTTCTCACTGGCCACATATAGGAAAATTTGAATATCAAGAAGAATAATTGATTTTATTAATGTGGTAATGGTTTCATGGTTTAATAGGCTGTTTCTAGTCTCAAGAGATACATGCTGAAATATTTAGAGGTAAGTCTCATAGTGTCTAAAACCCATTTTTGTTTTGGCAAAAAAGTAAATATGTGTATAAAAGAGAAGTGGAGCCAGTAAGGCAAAATGTTAACAAAATGAATCTGGATGAGAGGTACACAGGTATTCATTGTACTATTTTCTTTCTGTGAATTTAAAATTACTCAAAATTTAAAGAAAAAATTATCTACTGAGGATTTTTTCACAGTTGGCAGGGCCTGGGTTTCTGGGCTGACTTGCCCTTTCTCTTTTTAGATTCAAGAAATCCATGGTGAAAGGTTTGGATTCTTATGAGGAAAAAGAGGATGAAGTGATCAAAGAGGTAAGTTTAAAGAAAGGCCTCCGAAGCAGCCAACCCTCATGACCTTGTTACCTATCTAAGCAGCCTTTCTTCCACAGATGGCAGCTCAGATCCGTGAAGTGGAGCACAGCCGGCAGGAGGTGGTTCGGTCCATCTTAGAGGTTGGTTTCCCTCGGAGAAGCCAAAGCAGTATCCAAATCCACTGAATCCTGCTTCTCCCAGGTCCAGCATTTCACCTACCAGCTCCAAGAAAACTCAGGGACTCCATGCTTCACCTGCTCTGCTTGAATTCTCTTACCTGTCCATCAGGGGGCAGGTCTTGTCAGTAGACAAGATGTGGGCAGGGCCGGGAAGAAGGGGAGAGTTTACAAGTTGGGCAGTACCCTCCATATGCCAATTTGTTTCCTTCTGGAGAGTGGGAGCATAGCCTAGGCAGACTCTTAAGCATCCTAGACACATTTATTTTTCCTGAATCAAACTCAGCCTCAGGCAGTACCAGACCCAGAAGAGAGCTCTTCAGCACCTGGAAACTGGAAAGGGACAAACAGGTAAGATAGTAAGGGAATCTCGTTTAACTTTTGACCAGTTAGAGCATTCTGTAATTTTTTTTTAGTTGGAATATGAGAACAAATCTCATCTTTGCTATCCTCATGGCCCAAGGACCTCCTCTGCCAGCCTGGCTCCTATTTGTCTTTTTCAGCCAAGTACCCTCCACCTCACAGAGACCCTCATACTTGGAACTGCCACTAACCCAAGGGCTTGACTGGATGGAGACAGGACAACCTCTGACATTCATTGGCCATCAGGTACAATGGATAAGCCAGCCAGGAAAGGGGCAATGCCCCATCCGCATCAAGAACACCCATCTCTCCTGGGTTTCCTACCCATTCTTGCTTCTGCAGGCTTCTCTCTCTTGCTGTACTGTTCCATAGTATATAGTGTTTTCAGACATCTTTGCTCACCCTCCAACCATGGCTATGGCCCCCACTGCCACTTAGGAGTACCAACACCTAAGTTGCATCCTTTAGAGAAACCACAGTTCCAGCTTAATACATTTATAGATGCTCCACAGGCATCTGAAATTACTCCCATCTCCCACATGGTATCAAGCATGTCTATTTTAACTCAATATAAGTTGGCCCCTTGGAACAATTCCTACACTTCCTTGCAATCCTGTTTTAATTTTTATTTATTCACACTGGACAGCTACTGGACAGCTATTGTTGTGTTGGCTGTTGTCATTTTTTAAGTTTTATTTAGAGAGGGAAAGGGAGAGAGAAAGAGAGGGAAACATCAATGTGTGGTTGCATCTCACTTGCCCCCTACCAGGGACCTGGCCTGCAACCCAGGCATGTGCTCTGCACTGGGAATCAAACTGTTGACCTTTTGGTTCACAGGCCGATGCTCAACCCTTGGAGCCACACCAGTCAGGGCTTGTTTCATATACACAGAAAACCATTGCATCACCTGCTATCTTTATAGTCTATACTCCAGCTGTACTGTGCTTCCTTTTTGCCCATGCAGTTGCCATTGCCAACACCACGTACCACATTCTGCCATGCATAATGCGCTCTTGCATATAATGCGCAACATTTTTATGTGCATTATTCATGGATTATACCATTATACCCATGTATAATGCACATCCTGCAAAAATTTGGGCAAAAAAGTGTGCATTATACACACCAAAATACGGTGTGCTGTGAGGAAAGGGTTTTGTTTACCTGGCATGTTGTAGGCACAGTTCCACTATTAAGACCATGAGTCTCTTAAGACAGTACTTTCAAAGAGTTATTGTGCTTTTTAAAATGTTTTTACAGAGGGGAAGAGAGAAAAAGGGAGAGAAACATTGATGGGCAAGAGATACATTGAATGGTTACCTCTTGCATAATCAAATTGGGGATCTGGTCCGCAACCCAGCATCCCAGGCATGTGCCGACTGGGAATTGAACTGGCAACCTTTTTGTTTGTGGGCCAACACTCAATCTACTGAGCCACACCAGCCGGGGGGTGGGGGTGGGGCGGTGGGTGGGGTTGTGTGTGTGTGTGTAAAGATTTATTTATATGGGGACTAAATCATAACAGAAAAAAATCCAATAAAGCTTAAGTATGAAAATATTTCATTTATTTTGAGAGGAAGGAGAAACACTGACCAGTTGCCTCTTGCATGCACACCTCCAAATGGGGCCCTAACCCAGAATGGAACTATGACCTTTCTGCTTGTGGGGCAATGCCCAACCCACTGAACCACACCAGTCAGGGCTACTGTGCTCTTAAGGTTTAACATTAATAGGGTGTAGAATTAGGGTTAGCACTGGTTCCATCCACCTCCTATAAAGTTTGCCTTCTCTGAGTATCCTGTCATTCTTTGACTTTCTGTATCTAGGATTTTTTTTTTTCTATTTCCAACTACAGGACACACCAGGAGTTGGTAACATCCACTCAGGTAAGGCCCAGAGCAGTGTTTTTCAAACTATAAGAGGCAATTTAAAAAAAATAAGTTTTATTTGTTTTTAGAGAGGTGGGAGGGAGACAGGAACTCCGATGCGAGAAACATCAATCTGTTGCCTCGTACACACCCCAACTGAGGTCCAAACACACAACCCAGACATGTGCCCTGGCTAGGAACCTAAACAGTGACCTTTTCTTTGCAGGATGACTGATACCCAACCAATGGAGCCACACCAGGCAGGGTGAGGCAGTTATTTAAGGTTGAATCGCATCTCAGCCTTTTGGCTAAGTCAAGTGTACTATCTATTCTTACCAGTTTTACATCCTTTGAGGACAATATATTAAACAGCTTTTTGGAGCAGGGACATGGAATAAGGAGGTTGCTCTGTCCACTGTGCATCAACCTGGTATTGCAATACCTTCAAAAAAGGTGCACCAGAAAAAAATAAACAAAACTGGTTAAGATAAAGCACAAACTGCAATCTAGCTGTCCATTAATAGATGGATGAAGATGTGATACACACACAATGGAGTATTACTGAGCAATAAAAAAAGCAAAGAAATCTTGCCACTTGTAACAAAATTGATGGACCTAGAGGTTATTATGCTAAGTAAAATAAGTGAGAGAAAGGCAAATACCGTTTGATCTTAAATGTGGAATCTAAAAAGAACTAAATGAATAAAGACTCATAGAGAACAAGCTGATGACTTCCAAAGAGCAGGGGGTTGGGGAATATAAAAAAAACACCATCTGATGAAGGACTTAGATTCTGAGTGTATGTCAAGAACTCAAAACTCATTAAAGGCATTTTATTAAAAAGATGCTCAGAATGGCTAAAATATTCAGAAAGACTGAACATGTATGTGTAAGAACTTTCACTCACTGCTAGTAGAATGTAAAATGGCACACCTACTTTGGAAAACAGTCTTAATTTCTTTTAATGTTTTTTAAAATATTTTATTTTTAGACAGAGGGGAAGGAAGAAAGGGAGAGAAGCATCAGTTGTGGTTGCCTCTCGCGTTCGTGTCCCCCCTACTAGGGACCTGGCCCTGCATGTGCTGACTGGGTTTGTAGGCTGGTGCTCAGTCCACTGAGACATGCCAGCCAGGCAGCCTAACAATTTCTTAAAATTAAACATACATTATAATCCAGCCATTCCAAGGAAAAAGAACGGCTTCTACACAAATTGTCATAGCAGCTTTATCTTTAGGTGCCCCAAACTGAGGAAAATCCAAATATGCCTCAAGAAATGAACAATGGAATAGTACTCAACACAGATAAATCTCAACAGAACTAGGCAAGTGTCCTTAATTTGCTTAATAGGTCTTTCTTTTCCAGGCGCCACACCTCCCTGGATGGTCCAAGATGAGGAATACAGCTCTGGGAATCAACAAATAGGACCTTCCTATGAAGAATTTCTCAAAGAAAGTGAGTAAACAAATTCAAGAATGGCAGTTAAGGTGTTCTTTAAATCTTCCTACTTACATAAACCATTTACTTATCATTACAGAGGAAAAACAGAAATTGAAAAAACTCCCCCCAGACAGAGTTGGGGCCAACTTTGATCACAGCTCCAGCACCAGTGCAGGGTGGCTGCCCTCTTTTGGCCGGGTCTGGAATAATGGACGCCGCTGGCAATCCAGGTATAGTTCAAGTGCCTGGACCCCAACCGACCACCCCTCTCTCACTTTTGTCCTACTAACCCTTCATTTCTTTTCAGGCATCAATTCAAAACTGAAGATGTAGCAAGGAACAAACAGCAGTCACAGGAAGGAAGAAAATGAATGGTTTCCTGATACTTTTGCAACAACCATAAGGCTCAATCAAAGCCAAGTGTGCAAACCCACACCATATATTCTCCTTTGTTAACTGCCTCTTAGAAAACACACATACCCACTTACTAATTTAATAAAGTTTTATTTTTCAAAATGTACAGCTCGTGAGACCTGTAAAAAAAAGTTAAAAAGAATTAGTATAGTTTATAAAAGGGATGCGTATTTCCTACATTGAGACCCTGGATTCTTGCTCACCTGTTGTTCATGCATCTTCAACAGCTGGGGCATCCCCACCTTTGGTGTTTCTGGTGTAAATTACTTGAGCTCTGTGCTTTGAAACTAGTTTAATAAGTCCTAAAGAAAAAGAATAAATTTTTCACATAGAAAATGACACCAGAAAGTGAATTTTATATCCCTTCCCAAAACAGAAATGCTGAATTTGAGCATGAGAGTTAACAGGTAAACATGCCCACATTTCTTGGTGATAATCTAATTTTACTTACTTTTTCCAAAGGAAGGACCTATTACCTCCTTCTGAGATGGCCACCCTCACAGCACCTTATCCATATTAGACACTATACATAGCTTCACCAAACTGCCACAGGGGCCAAGGCACAAAAATGGCTCTGAGGTGACATGTTAAAATCATATTACTAACAACCACTCAGCCTATTTTTAAAAATTCCAATAAAAACATGTGAGATGGCTAACATGATCAGGCCAATTTATGTGCAAAACCACAAGTACAATAATTCCTCACCTTTACTAAGGAGCTCCTGAAGGGCTGCTCTGGCCAAGGAACCACGGATCTTCAGTCGCTCAGAGACAACAGCTGGGGTTATAAGCTTGTAGTTGGGAACTTCCTTACAGAGTTTATCATATGTTGCTTTGTCAAACAAGACTAGGTTATTGAGCTTGTCCCGAACTTTGCCTTTGGACCATTTCTGCTCACAAAAACAAAAAGGAAAAAGAATCAATGCCCCTGGAAAAATCATCCTTTGTCTCCCAAACAACCTGTGCCAGACAAATCTCTCCATATTGGGAGGACAATACTAAGAGGGTCACTCCATCCTTGGTCTGAAGAAACATAGAAGTTTCACAATCCACTGATATTCTACAAATTAAAATTCAAATAATGGAAAACGAGAGTATAAGTAAGGTAAAAGACCCTGGTAACCTTTGATGGCATCAGATACACTTTGACACACTTGAGACTTTCAGATATGGGCTGAGCCCCACCAGGCTAGTTAAAATAATATTCCACACTAAACATGAGAACAAATACTTTTTACAACATTTTTTAATCCTCACCCCAGGCCACAGTTACTGGTTTTACAGTTTATTTATTTTTTAGGAAAAGGGGAAGGGAGAAAGAACAGAAACATCGACTGGTTCCCTTCTGCAAGCACCCAGCAAGGGATGGAGCAGAGAGCCCAAAACCCAGGCATGTACCCTGAACCAGAATGGAACTAGTGACCTTTCTGTTTGCAGGATGATGGCCGACCAAGCCACCCTAGTCAGGATCATGTTTATTGACTTTAGAGATAGGGGAAGAGAGGAGAGAGACATTGATTGGTTGCCCCTTGCACATGCCTGGAAACTTCTGGTTTACAGGATGACACTCCAACTGAGCCATGCCAGCCAGGGCCAGGACAAATAATACACATTTGTTTAATTTCCAAGTAGTATGTACCACCCTGTTCATTAAATGAGGGGAAAAAAGTGACAATGGTGATAAGGGCATAGCTTTAATAATCTGGGCAGGGTAGCTCAGTTGGTTAAGAGTGTTGTCCAATAAGCCAAGGTTGTGCTTTCGATCCCTGGTCAGGACATATACAAAAATCAACCACTTAATAAGTGGAACAACAAATCAATGTTTCCCCTCAAATCAATAAATAAGTTAAAACTTAAAAATAGACCCGATGTGGCTCCATGGATTGAGCACTGGCCTGCGAATGAAAGGCTGCCTGTTCGATTCCCAATCAGGGAACATGCCTGGGTTGCTGGCCAGGTCCCTGGTTGGGGGCAACCCTTCCATGTTTCTCTTCCTCTTTCTCTTCCCTTTCCCCTATAAAAATAAATAAAATGTATATATAAAAATATTCTTAAAATTATAAAAGTAATATGACTCTATACCCCACAACTTTAAAAGCCATTCACTGTATATAACTTATTACTACAGCAACACAGAACGCGCGCCCCAGTTTTCCTTAATCTTAGAGGAACTGACTCCCACCTTCTTTTTGGCCTTGCCCCCAGATTTGTTCACTGGGTCTTTGTCTTTCTTGGCCGACTTTCCTGCATCTTTCTTCTTCTTGTCGTCCTTGGGCGGCTGTTCGAAGAAAAGAGGGAAAACAGCCAGCTCCTAACAGCCCCACGCTCCCCTCGTACTGCGCTTCCTACCCCGGTCAAGCTCCATTAGCTAGCACGCGGGTGAGGCAATACACCCGCCCGCCCTCTGAGTTGCGGCGGACAGTTCTGGGGGCCCTCCTTCCAAAGGAGCCTCAACCGCGCTCTGGCACTGTCCGGCTCTCAGGACCACACCGGCTGCACATCGATACTCACCATAGCGAAACCTGAGGAGCCTCAGCACTCACTGCTACCCGAGAAAATGTCGGACAGAAAGGAAGCACCGCGCACGAACAGGCCAACAAACCACCACCCGGAGCGAGTGCTTCCGGGGCAAGGGGTGGAGCCCCGGCCTCTCGCTGAAGCTAGACAGGGGCCTTGAGAATCTGGATTCCGGTTCCTCAGCCGCACACCGGAACACTGCTCCCACCTTGTTGGGCTGTTTGGGCTATGCCGCTAGTTTTGAAGCAGTCACGTATTGCTCTCTCCTGGCACTAAGAACCAGGAAAGAGGGACGTAAAACTATAAGATCTGGGCAACTAATTTTGCGGCGTTACACCCAAGCATGTTGCTTCAAGTGCGCAAGCGCCGCAACCGTCGGCTAGCCAGAGCTGGGAGGAAGAAGTGGAGGGCGGGAGACAGGTCCCGTGACTGCTTTTCTGGGGGAGGCCGGTCCACTCCCAGTCTCCAGCCTAGGCAGCAGTGATGGCGATTTTCAGTGTGTATGTGGTGAATAAAGCTGGCGGCCTGATTTACCAACTAGACAGCTACGCGCCACGGGCGGAGGCTGAGAAAACTTTCAGTTACCCGCTTGATCTGCTGCTCAAGCTACACGACGAGAGAGTGCTAGTTGCCTTCGGCCAGCGCGACGGCATCCGCGGTGGGCTAGCCTCGGGAAGGGGGTTGGTACTGCGGAAGGAGGCTGGTGCCAGGGGCTGGGGGTGAAAGGGTGCGGCCGGGTCCCTCTACCCTCGGCGGCATCCGCTGGATGGGGCTTCGTTGACCTTTGCCTCACCTCTGCAGTGGGTCACGCAGTGCTGGCCATTAATGGCATGGACGTGAACGGCAAGTACACAACTGATGGGAAAGAAGTGCTGGAGTACCTAGGCAATCCTGCTAACTACCCGGTGTCCATTCGATTCGGCCGGCCTCGCCTCACCTCCAATGAGAAGCTCATGTTGGCGTCCATGTTCCACTCGTAAGTCTTTTAATCCTGCCCAGTGCCTGTTGGCCTGCATTTGGCTCTTAGACTGGCAGGGTTAGTGTGGCTCTATGACCAGGCAGTCTCCTGAGCGGCAGTGCTTACCTTGCTCTACTTCCTTTTAAATCATCAGTTCTTGTATTATGAAAAGAAAAAGAACTGATTCAGTATGATTAGGTTTTAGGCAATATTGACAGTGGTGTGATGTTGCTTAAGTTGGCTTCAATTCTCTGAGCCTTAGTTTCTTCATGTTTATAGTAGGCAGTTGAACTAAATGATCTTTAAGGTCTTTTTCTGCACTTAACTACAGTATGATATGTGTTGGGTATGCTAGCCATGGCCCCTATTTCCAATGTTAATTTAATGTAAATTGTTGTATAGCAAAGTATTAATGTACAGTAAGTCCTCAACCTCCTCAGTGGGTTCTGCATCTTTAAGCAAAAGGAAGTATAATTGACCTTTGAGTAAGGAGGGGGTCAGGGGTGTGATCCCTCCCCATATAACTTATTTTTAATCTCCACCCGAGGACATGCTTATTGATTTTAGAGACAGGGGAAGGGATGGAGGGAGAGAGAAGGAGAGATACATCAATTGGTTGCCTCTTGCACATGCCCCAACTGGGAGAGTAACGGCAACTCAGGCAAATGCCCACATTGGGAATCGAACCCTCAACTTTCCAATTTACAGGATGATGATCCAACCACTGAGCTATACCAGCCAGGGTCCCCACATACAACTTTTGACTCCCCCAGAACAACTACTGTCATCCCTTGGTGTCTGCAGGGGATTGATTCCAGGACCCCTGCAGATAACCAGAATCTGTGGATATATAAATCCCTCATGTAAAGTGGTGTAGAACAGTGCATACAGCCAGCCCCCTGCATCCAGTTATTCCCAAACGCTGGTTGAAAATACTGTTTTTGATCCAGAGTTGGTTGAATCCTTGTATTTGCAATGCGGGGATAGGGAAGGCTGACTGTTTTTATTGGAAAATCTTGCATGTAAGTGGACCTGCACGTTTCAAACCCATGTTTATCACCTGTATAATGAAGGCAGTTTTACCATAGACTAATTGAACAAAAATTAAGTTCCTATGGCTTCTCATCAATATTAAAATAAAACAATGTTATTTGGGGACCTGCTATAAAATTCATGTGGAATTCAAATGAATTTCGAGGAAAATTTGATACTGCTGCTAGGCAGATCACACTGCCTCTGCTGACTGACCCTGGCTGTAATGTGAACTCTTTGGCAGATAGGATCACTTCGGAGGAAAAATTTGGGAAGCACTCCTATCTTACAGCAGTGGGGTACATTCCCAGCTTTGCCTCCTTTGCAAATAGGCTGTTCGCAATCGGCTCCCAGCTATCTCCTGAACAGGGCAGCTCAGGCATTGAGATGTTGGAGACAGACACATTCAAACTGCACTGCTTCCAGACACTGACAGGTATGTGTCTCCAGATAGTCCAAAGCGATGCAGTGGGACAGGTTGGGGGAAGTGACTGAGCAAAGCTTTGGTAAGTGGTATGTGTGGGGTGGAGGAGGGTAGCTCTTCCTGGGACAATTACATAGACACATCTATTT